AGGGAAGGGGAGGGAAGGGGAGGGAAGTGAAGGGAGGAAGAAAGAAAGAAAGAGAGAAAGAAAGAAAGAAACCCTTGTCCTAGAGCCTTGCATTTAACCCTGTTATGATACTAGTTGCAACGTACCAAAACTATGTTTAAAGAACTCTGACACTACATTGTGAGATTCCAGGATCTTTTCATTTTCTTCGTATCTCTCCCTGTAACCACAAAAATAGCAGTAGTAACAGCAAGAGGGAAATGAGCAGCAATAGCAGCCACTGCTCAGCCACTCCCTTAAATACCTGTTGTGTTACCTTCAGATCCCCTACTCTCCAGTGAAGCAAAATGATCTTAGAGACCCAATGTGAATATATTCAATTTTGCAAACACATTGAAATGGCCCACAATTCTGAGAATCTATTTCTTTAGGCTCCTAATGTTTTTCAGAATTTTAGGGTTAAAAAAGGGAGCTTTGGCAACTTGCCTAACCTCTAATAAATGGAAGCCATTCTAAACAACGATTAACAAATAACTTCCCAATTCAGCTTGAACATGTGACATCATCACAGAATTCACTCTCAATGCAACTTTTTCCCACTTTATTATGATTCCAAATTAAATAACTCTTCCTTACAGTGTGTGGAAATATGTTTTGTTGTAATTTTACCTCCCGGTCCAGTCACTGCAACTAAATAGAATATATTAATCTCCGTTTACATGACACCATTTTCAAAAATGTGAAGAAAGCTATTACACCTCTGCTAAGCCCTCCCTTCTTTAAAGTAAGTATAATTTGTTTATGTTTGGCTATATGTAACTTTAAAATACTCCTTATAACGACACTGTTTTAGAAACTACCATCTTATTCATCTTCCTGTAACACACACTATTTTGTAAATGTCTTCTTAAAATGTAGTGCCCAAACTGAACACGACATGGTCTGTCTAGGGCACAGTATTAATGGCCTCTGCTGTAGCACTTGTTGATCAACTGAAACTCCAAGAACTTCACCATGACCGTCTTGTATCAAGACGGCTTCTCCCTGTTCTTTTTTTCCCCCCTTTTCCTCTTTTTTGGTCACATCTGCTGTGTCACTTGTGTTCTTGTTGTATAAACTGATCATTTGAACCTTAAGCAAGAATTTGTACTTTCTACCATTAAATTTCATGATTGCAAGCTTTCCTGTTAGAGCTAGGACCTTTTGTCTAATTTTTTTTTCTTTGAGGCAGGGTCTCAGTTTGTCACCCAAGCTGGAGTGCAGTGTGGCACAATGACAGCTCACTGCAGCCTCGACCTCCCAGGTTCAAGCTATCCTCCTGCCTCAGCCTCCCAAGTAGCCAGGACTACAGCAGGCACACACCACCATGCCCTGTTAATTTGTGTGTGTGTGGAGATGGGGTCTATGTTGCCCAGTCTAGTCTTGAACTCCTGGGCTCAAGTGATCCTCCCACCTCAACCTCCCAAAGTGCTGGGATACAAGCATGAGCTACCTTGCCAAGCCATAGAGCTGGGATCTTTTGGAATCCAGATTCTGATGCATCACATATCAGATGTCCCCTTTGGCATAAATATGCATTCTACATTTTCATGTAAGTCATAGACTTAGAGGTTGTTTATAAAAGGACTGGACCAAAGAAAGACTTCAGAAAAAGTCACTTTTCCAAAGAACCTGCATCTGAATTACAGAATATTGCAATAGAAAGCATAGGTGTAAAGTATCTTCAAAATTATTATCACTCGTTCCTCTCTTCTCTAATATTTGGCACTCTACTATCAGATTAATCCTTATAAAAACACTTAATGCATCATATAATATTTGTACGAAAATACTTCAATTGCCTTACCCACATCAAATTCAAATTTTTCTGCTAGGCTTCCAAAACCTTTAATAATTGAATGAAATTTGTGCTCCAAGTTAGTCTCCTAACTTTCCCAAACTTCCAGTATTTCCTTTTGGAACCTCCTCCAATATCCAAATTCTATCATTCTTTCGGAGTACCATTTCAGTTACAATTTATTCATTAACGAGAGATGAAGAAAGACACTTTCCAACTACACAGTTTGAGCTCCTGGGTGGGATAAAGTATATAAATGACTTAATATATACGCAGTAATACTCTGTCTAACGAGTAGCAGAGATTAACTGCTAATTATTCCTCTGGTTTCTCACTTATTTGCAGCACCACGATGCTGAGCAGAGTAGGTACTAAAAGTATTATCTGTTAAATTTTACACATTTTATTTTGTAAAAATAAACTATTTGTGGACATCACAGTTCCAGGAGGCAGAGATTAAACAAAAATAAACAGAAATGACTCCCAACTTCAATGAATTAAGTAAAACGTTCCTTGAACTTTTAAAGGGAAAAATGATCGCGTTACGCATGCGTAGTGCTATATATACGCTGCTCTCTTCCTTTGAATTTTGAAAGTTGCATTGAGAGTGATATTTTTGTCCTTTCATTCATGGTTTTGGATTTGGTTAAGAAACGTTTGGCAACGGAGATGTGTAAAAAGCTAACAAGCATCTGCGGCCAAATAAGCCACATCACCACCTTTCCAAAAATCACACATAAATGTATGCCTAAGTTGAACAATTTCAGCTCAAGCTCGTCTTCTTCGGTCTATGCTGCACCAGAAAATACCCATTAGTTTCGTAGGAACTGAACTCTGGTTGTTTCTGGGACTAAAATCAAATAAAAAAAGTAATGATGGGCCCGCCCCTCACCTCCCAGGCGCTGGTTTCTTCCGCCTCCTCCCACCGCTGAGCACAACAAAAACACCGCCAGGCCCTGCGTCCCGACACCTGCCCGCGCCTTGGGATGGCGAAGGTGTCCGCAGGCTTCCTTCCACCGTCCTCTTGCGCTCACCTACAGTGCCGGCCGCCGACAGGAAGGCGGCGAGTTCGAGGAGCAGCTACAAGCAAAGTAAAAAATCAGCAAACGTCAACCGTTGTTACTTTTCAAACTTGCCGCCTCCTACTGGAAGTCCCGCCCCGTTCCGGGAAGCCCACGTCCAACCGCGACGGATGCCGGTTGGGCTCAAGAGACTCCAGGCAGTTGGGGCTGGAGTTGTCATGGAAGGGGCAGGGCGCAGGGCGGAACCATTGCTCGCGGACCTGGCGCGAGTCGGAACCTCGGACTGCGGGAAGTGGGAGCGCCGCGGTTTCAGGGAAGAGACCGGGGTTGAGCATATAGCCCAGCTCAGCGTGACTTCCGCCGGCGTTGAGCGCTTTTTCGGGGTCCGAGTTGAAGAGCAAAACCAAGTGGAGGAAACTTCACTAAGTTCAGGGTGACAAGGGAGGAAGTGCAGAGGTAATTTATAGAATTCCAGAATAATAATAATTTGTTGAACATTGATTATGTGCCGGGTTCTGTTAGATGTTTATCAGCATCATCTCATTTAGATTTCATTAAAGGGGAGAAAAGGGAGAGAGGAAAGATACTATCATCCCCTCAGGTGAGGGCTCTGAATCAGAGAATGCAATTATCTGCGCACAAGTAGCATAGCTTGGATATGAATACACATCCTCTGACTCTGTGCTCATAAGCACGACTTCAAGAGGTGGAAGGAACGTAACATTCATCTGGTCAAATCCTCTCGCTTTTACAGACAAGAAAACTGGACTCAGTGAGAAGTGATTTGTTAGAAGTTATACAGTAGGTGGTACTGTCTAAAGTAGAAACCAGGTCTCCTGATTTTAGCTTCTCCCTCTTCGATCAGCCCTCAGGAGGAGCCAGGAACATAAGGTGCTTTCCACCACTGAACTGTTCCCCAAACTTGCACATTCCTGAGTGACTTGCATTCTTCAGATAAGGGGCCCTGAAATCTGTATTTTTTAACATGGTATTTTGTTTGTTTTGGCAAGAGTGGAAACACTGCACTTAATACAAGTTAGGAAACCACGGCAGGCCTAGTTGTCAGGGGAGAAAGCCATTAAGTTTTATTGAGGTTTGGGACACGAGAGGACATAATAGAACTTATATCTGGTCACAGGGTAGAGCATCATCTGGTGACAGTCGTGTGTTGGATGGGGAACCTGAACTGAATTATGTGAAAAAAGTGCTAGAAAGGTTGTGTTGAATGTAGACACAAATACCGGTGCTTTGTCCTGTGGGTTGAAGGACTAAACCTACTGATAGTGAAGTCAGTAAATAAAAATAAAAATACATTTCATATTCATTAGTTCAGGGCTTTTGTCTTTCCTTTCAATGTCTATTTACTGATGTAAGTCTCAAAGTCGGAATCTAGTAAGACTTAAAAGGAGGTTAAGAAAATAGATTTTTAAAAAATATTAGAGTCAGTGAGGAAAGCAGAAAAAAGAGACCTGTCTCGTTGACACTTGCCAAATCAAATTGATTACTTATACGTGCATAACTTCCACCAAATCATATGTCCTTAGAGGCAGGGAAGGGAACCATAGTGTAGTGACTGAGAGCACATCTCTACAGTCAGAGGGAGTTGGATTGAAATCCCTGATTACACCATTTACTACCTAGGTGGACTTAGGTGAGCTATTTAACCTAACTGAGCTGGTTTCTGCATCTTTAAAATAGGGATAACAGTTCTACATTATAGGGTATCATGAAGATTAAGTGAATTAGTTCCCGTAGAGTGCTTAATTAAGTACTTGGCAAAATTATGAGTACTTGATAAATATTAGCTGTTATTTTGACTGTTATTATTTATACATGGTCCCTAGTAAAATATCTTGCAAGTGGCAAGTGCTTAACAAATGTCTAAGTTGTTGTTGAGAATCGAGACAAAAAAAAAGCGATTTATGTGAAAGCCAAGATTAGAATGGAACTTGGAGAAAGAGAAAAATGAGGCAAAGGAAGAAAAGAGCAAGATGACCATTTTGTTGTATCGGCAATAAATATTGTTTATTTGGGGATTAATATTACTATTGATGTGATAAATAGTTATATTAGAAGTACATTATTTGTTTGAAAAATGAGTGTTTATTCAAATTAATTTAATTAGAAGGTTAAATCTGACTTTTAAAAACTTTTCGTTGCCTGATACTGGTCAGTGTAAGGTAGAAGGTGGAACATCAGAATTCTCACCCTAGACATTAGTCTAAGAGTTTTGTTATCACCCATAAAAACACTGACAATTGCAGAAAACTTCAGTGTTCTTTCTGATTGTAGCATCATAATTTTATACCCTCACATGTGCTACATTTGCCCTTCTATTTCATTTTCCCTGTCAGCCCTCCTGCTAATACCTCCCTTCACAGCCTAGTCTGCATGGTTTATCAGCATCCAAACTTCCTGTGTCTGATGCCTCTGACCCAGGTGCCTGTCAAAACTTGTCCCTGAATCTTGTCTATAAATCCTTAACTGGAAACACTGGAGAAAATGACACAAAGTGACATATGACAGATTGTCAGTCTCTATCTTCAGCTCTTTCCCTGATTCCTGACAAGCCCTTAATTTATCATCAGTGATTTCCCTTTCCTGTAACTTTCAGTGATTTCTCACAAACTTACCCTTTCCTCATTCCTCTTCCCAGCCTAAATTCCTCTCTTTAATAGAAAGTGACCAGAGTAGTCTTAAAGGTATGTTTCAAGCACATAACACATTCGTATGCATCTGCAATTTGTTGTGTCTATTGCCTTTCTAATTTTAATTTCGTGTTCCTTTTCTAGACTGCACTTTAAATTCTGGATGACAGACCTATCAGGACTGAGTGGACCTTTGAGTGACAAGATGGGGGGTGTTCCAAAGAGACCATGGCAGCCTGCAGCTAGGACTTTATCTTTAATGCAAGTGGTGATGCTGTGATATCTAGTGCTTTAAAGAAATCTCTTTTTTTAAGTGACAGGGTTTCCAAATTGTTATATCTACTTTGTTTAACAGATCAATAGGGACAAAAAGTTGATACACTTGGTCTAATGTAGAAATAGGTGAAATACTGATTGGGTCCTACACTCTACTTGCCATCAGAATCTCTATTCTTATGAATAGAGATTCCGTAGGGGCCACAGACAATCCCAATACCTTTTTCCCAATTAATTGAGAAAATTAAAGCCATCATACAATATATAACTTCCTCCCTCTCCACGTCTGTCAATGCCACATATAGCCACCTGTCTTATTTATCTGTCTCAGAAAATGTAACGTACTTCCTCCACTAATGTATGACCACTGTTTCTTGTTCTAGACCTCTTCTGCATTTGGTGTCATTGATCAAACCCTCCTTGAAACTCCTTTTGCATTTTTCCCATCTTTTTCTACCTGTCTCATGCTTCTTGGGGGTCTTTTTTTTCTCTGCCTACCCATTAAATAGTATTTCCCAAAGTTCCAACCTTGAGTTGTTTTCTGTCTATGTCTTCCCTGTGAGGACTGTCCACTCATTGTTTTAACCTATTTGCTCATGGATTCTAAAACTACTGCTATTCCTAACCTCTTCCTTGAAGTTCAGACATTTGGGAGGCTCATGAGCCCTTCAAACTCTAATTTGTCCTTTGCTTTCATTTGTACTCCCAATTCTATCTCATCTCACTGCCTCCAGCGGTAACTACTACCACCCCCACCTGCACCACCAAATCCATCTTGTAAGTAGCAGCCAGAATGACCAGTCTCATATGTAAATCTATTTCACTTGCCTCCTTAAATTTCTGATCTCCCTCCACGGTCACCTTCAAGATAGTCCACCTCCATGGCCTGGTATGTTAGGGTCTTCATCATCTTGCCACTCTTTTCCTTCCCAGTCTTGTTTCCCCAGTACCATCTCCCATCCTACCCACTTCGCATTCATGAGGCTGCTTTACACCTGAGACCTTTCACATTCTTGTTGACTTTGTCTGGACTGTCTTTATTTTCTTTGGCTGACTCTTCTTTATCCTTACTAATTTTTTAGGGTTCTTCTAAGAAGCCTTTCCTTATTCCATAGTCTGAGTTAGTTGATTTTTCTCTGCTTTCTTGACATTCATGGATTCATTCAGAAAATATTCATTGAACCCTTATTTTATGCTAGATACTAAGCTAGATACTGGAAATGTAATAATGAAAAAGCAAATATGGCAATAACCAATCTAATAATTTCCTGACAGAGTTTACATTCTCATAGGGAAAAAAAAATAAAAATAAAAAAAAGGCAGTTCAGTCTTACTGGCTCCATGCTTGAGAATAGCTAGGAATTCAAAGGGTAAAAGGCAAGTGTTCTAGATAGAGGCTAACAATGTTTATGAAGAAGAACACAGTCTAGGAACTAAGAGATTCTAGACAGGGGTGGAGAGGTAAATAGGGACCAGATCATGAAGAGCATTAGTGATGATGTAACAAACTTTGGACTCCTTCTTAAGGCTAATAGTACCTTTGAATGGTATCAACATGATTAGGTTAGTATTTAAATGATGAATCGCTACTCTGAGAAAAAGAACTCAAAGGGTGGCAATACCAGCAAGAAGGAAACCAGTTAGGAGATAATTGTAGTAAACCAGGGAAAGAAGGATGGCAGTTTATACTGGGGCATTGCCAGTGTGGGTAGAAATAGATCTCAGAAGAATTTTAGGAAGTAGAAATGGCAAAACTTGGTGACTGGCTGAATTGTGAGGGCAGAAATGGGATAAATCAAGGACAGAGTTTCAACAAGCTTTAGTGAAGACAGGGACTACCCCATTTGCTGTCATGTATTCACAGCTTAGCACAAATCTTTATATGCTGGAGATGCTTGATAAGTACAAATGAAATTTTCTGGCTTGAGTACCCAGATAAATGGGATGCCAGTCTCTGATTTAGGTAACATAGAGGCAGACTCAGTTGGGAGGTAACTGGTGATTCAGTTTTGAACATGTCTAACTTAACATGCCTGTGAAACATACCATGTCCAGATACACAGCAATTGGATGAATGATTCTGAAACTCAAGAAGAGAGGTCTGAGATGGATTCTTTGCATACTTAAAAAAATAAAAGTTTATGTTATATTGAAATGATCTGTTTTGTGCCTGTCTCCACTATCACACAGGTCTGGTTCTTAATGACCTTTGATGTTCTA